GTTAGTTCTGCCTGTTGAGCCGCTTGACTGTCACCATGGCAATACCTCTCCTTTTCCTGGCCCAGTTTGACATTGGAATCAATGGAGTTACTCCAGAAATGAATTTGGCCATCAGGTTGTAGGCAGCGGTGGATATGAACACTCTAAATTGATGGCCAAAGATGACAATATTATTATGTTTTGGAATTGTCATAGCACCTAGCAGCCCATTATGCTAAGTGATGTACACACCTAGCAACAAGGTGCTGCCCGCTTCTTCGCAGTGTCGTCTGGGGGTGGGAACATGTGTTCGTATGGCACTGTTGTGGCTAACGTCACGGGGATATTTGCATGCCAGATGCGCTCGAGTGTCATGTGTCCCTCCCTTCATGCTTCGGCCACCATTCCAGAGGACGTGTATGCACGGGATGGATCACTTGATGATTACCTGTTCTGTTCATTCCCTCTGGGGTAACTGGCATTGGCCACTGTCGAAAGACAGGATACTAGGCTAGATGGACCATTGGTCTGACCCATTATGGCCGTTCTTATGTTCTTAACAGCTGGATCTGTCCTGATTTTCTCCTCCTTGCTGCCTCTGTCCCCATCACATCTTCTGGGCACCTGCAACCACTTACTAGAGAAGGGTCTTTTTAAAAGGAAACCCAAGGAAGAAGAATCTGGATCTGAGAGCATGTGACTGCTGAAGAGAATGAAACACCAGGAGGCAGATGATGTCATGAATTGTAGCTTTTATTATGGCACATCTACATGAAAGGACGGGATGAGAAAAGAGACCAGAGGGGGAAAATCACAAGCACTAAAGAGTCTACATCACAAGTGTTACACGTCACACTGCAAGGGGAATGCCCGACCAGCAGAGTGAGGAGAGAGCTACTGCGCGAGGGGCTGTAATTCATTTTCATTCCGTAGACGTCGGGTGGTTCCGTGGGCACTAACAGAGCTTCTTTTCTTTGCAACAGTGCTGCACAGGTGGGCATTTTGGAAGGCATGGAGGACATGGAGGGCACGGAGGACACTTTTGAGGGCACGGAAGGCACGGAGGACACTTTTGAGGGCACGGAGGACATGGAGGGCACGGAGGACACTTTTGAGGGCACGGAGGACATGGAGGGCATGGAGGACACTTTTGAGGGCACGGAGGACATGGAATACACTTTTGAGGGCACGGGCACGGGCATGGATGCACGCATTTAGTGCACTTCTTCACGCAGACTTTACAGCAGGGATCTACGCATTTTGTCACACACTTGGTCACACAGACTTTGCAGCAGGGATCCAGGCATTTGGTAGTGCACTTGGTCACACAGCATGGAGGAGGCAGGCAGGTCTGTTTGCATTGCTGCTGGTAAGCCATCTTCCTGGGACGAGGGCAAAACTGAAAGACAAAGGAGGCTTCAAGATAAGAAAAATCAAGGCAAACAGCATCATCTTCTCATTAGCATCATGCACCAGAACATTCATTATAATCAGAGGCTGGTGCACTCGGGAACACTTCTCCAGAGAGAGCATCGCCATTGCAAACCACTGCAGAAAGAACAAACATGGGGGAGGATGGACTGAAATCCCATTCTCACGGCCTGCAATGGGATTAGTGAAATAGCCACAAGACACTTAAGCAAAACATTCTGGTGAGCAGCAAGAAGAGGAAAGCCAAAAATTAAGCCCAGCCATGAAGTTAGCTCCCAATAATGAGAAGGAGACTTACCCAATTCACCTACAGGAGCTAATGAAGACGTTGAGTCGTTTGTGGAGCATTGTGATGCGAGTCTTTTTATATGGTTTCCATGGCCTGGTCTGCGGAAACGAGATATCCTAGAGGTATGCAAATAGGATTTGCATAAACTGACTTGCTCCAATTAAACATCCTTCAACTACTTGTTTGCATCATTATTTTTAATAATTATTTTAAATGGACACACATGTCATCTTTGAGGAAACGCCTGACCTACAAAATTCATATTAGAAATACAATTCAATAAACAACTGCATTGTTTGCTTAAAAAATGGACTTTCTAGAGTTCCAGTCCTTCCTTCCGCAGGCTTTTGCATCTTCTTCTGAGGCATCTGGGACTGCTCAGTGGCAGAGAGAAGATACTGGCCTGGATGGATCTCTGATCTGATCATCCGAAGAAGTGGGCTGTAGTCCACGAAAGCTTATGCTCTAATAAATTTGTTAGTCTCTAAGGTGCCACAAGTCCTCCTGTTCTTCTTTTTGCGGGTATTTCTCTGTTCTTGCTAATGTACAGCTCCCGTCCATGATACACCACGCATGCCTCTATGGGCACAGAGCTGACGCTGGGCTCATGGATTCCTTGGTATTTTTTGCAGTAGGACACTCCAAATGCAGCCCACTCACCGCTATTACTCCTGCTAGAATGAATATTGGTCAGGTGTCTCCTGATAAGGAGCTTGGGTCTTTGTTATGTGACATTGTGTCTTCACCACATGCTGCCTTCGTGCTATTTTGAACTGAAACTTCATCCTAATTCTAATATTTTCTAGATCCTAGGGCATCTTGCAGACCCTTTCTTTTGTTTCTTTTGCTATTCCCACTTAGTCATTAACGGACACTGTGGACTCTCATTCTGCCAGGCCCTGAAGGTGTGTGATTCTCTTGTGGGTTCAGATGGCAGTAGCTGATTCTAGACCCTGTGACTCAGCCTCTGACGCTGCCGACACGGGTGTATTTTCCTCTTTGGAATTCCAGTGTGTTATTCTCACCAGCTGGGCCTCAGGGTTCCAGGAGCCAGGTCCTACCTGGATGAGATGGCCTGCAAAATATCTCTAGATTCTTCTAATAAAGGAATCTGTCCCCTAGCAAGTCACAATAATTAAATACCTTACAGGAGGCAGAGGGATCTCCTGGGTACGGCATTGCACTGAGAGTCAGGAGAACTGGACTATATCCCTGCCTCTGCCACTGACCACCTGTGTGATCTTGGGCAAGTCATTTCACGTCCCCATGTCTCTTTCCCCTCCAACCCTTTATCTGTCTAGATTAAAATCTTTGCAGCAGGAACTATGTGTCTGTACAGCACCTGGCAATGAGTTCACTGTCATAGTTGGGACCTCTAGGAGGTACAGTAAATCAAATCATGAAATAAAAAAAATAGTCTACCACTCGTAGGTATTTCTAATTGTCTGGAATCTGACCACATTCAGCGTAACACTCCTAACGGGTCTGTTTTTCTCAGAATTCGTTATTACCCTTCCAAGGGAATGGAGAGAGATGAGCTGTAACATGGAAAGCACCGGGGGAAGAAACTTTGTGTTCAGATAACACTTCCCCTTGAATAAACTTTTCCTGGAATCACTCTGCTTGTGTTACAGTCACTTTCGCTTCAATCTTTTCTCAGACTTTGGCTCTTCAGGACTCACTGCTTTTCCGTAAAGGGCTGAGCCCAGAAGCAGCGAGTGGACGCCTGCTTTCAAGGTGGAAGTCCATGAAGTAGATCATAGATATCCAAGGAGGAGAGCTTCAGCTTCTGAGGTTGGAATACCACTTCACTCCTTGGGTTCACACATGGAAATTAGTGGTACGGCCTCAGAGGAAAGTGTAGCTCAATGTGAGAAAAGGTGGCAGAATCCAGCGCACAATGCAGTGTATTGTGGTAGTGGACCTAGAGCCTGTTGTGTTGGGTTTGGTTCCTGTACCAAAGATGTTCCAATCTCAGTAAATCTCTGCCATAGCTTCTAATCAAGAAAGAAAGAAAGAAAGACCCCACTATAGGTGAGCTTCCAGACACATGCATAGATAAGTTCTCATTTCCTAGCTGATATAAATTAAAACTTTCAGCCCTGGATATTATTCTTCAGAAGAGTCAACATCCATGGCAACAAGATCACATAAGTGTCTTTTCCAGTCCATATTAGCATCATTCCCATTCCACACTCATGTTGATGGCATGTTAGATATTTACATTTTGTAATGTAATGGAGATGGACAGGAGATTGCTTTCCCCACTGGGAACGTTGGCATCCCATATATATCAAGATGGACTCTCCCACAGCTGCTTACCATCTGAATTAGAAAATACAAGAACTCGAATGAAATTTTAGTGCAAAATGGCAAGAAGCCACCCCTAAGTGAAGACACAATGTCAGAGGAAGATGCAAGAAAGTCTGAAGTAGGAATTTATGAAAAAGCAAAGAATCCTGTTAGTTAGAATATCTGTTAGTCTTTAAGGTGCCACCAGACTCCTTGTTGTTTTTGTAGATACAGACTAACACGGCTACCCCCTGATACTTGTTGTTGATTGAATTGGCTTTTTCTAATATAGAGAATGTGGATCAGGCAGAGAACTTACAAAGAGCATTTACTCTAATATGTAATTTGCATCTGCTTAAAATAATTATTTAAAATAATTAGTAACAATAGTGATACAAACGAGTAATTAAAGGCTGTGTCATTGGAGCTAGATAGGATTGTAAAAATCCTATCTGCATATCTGTGGGGTGCCTCATTTCCGTGGAGCAGGCCATGCAAAGCATATAAAAAGGCTCGTGTCCCAGTGCTCCTCAATCCACTCGGCTTCTTCATTTGCTCCTGTTGGTGACTTGGTAAGTCTTGTTCTTATTATGCAGAACTAACTTCACGGCTGGGCTTCATTTCTGGCTTTCCTTTCCTTGCTGTTCACAAGAGGGCTTTGCGTAAGTATCTTGCTGTTATTTCTCTAATCCCATTGCAGGGCTGCAGGCAGGGATTTCAGTCCATTCTCTGTAAGGTTTGTTCTTTCCCAAGTGGTTTGCAATGTTAATGCTCTCTCCACAGAAATGTTTCCCACGGCACCAAGCTCTGTTTGTGCCGAATGTTCTCCGTCCATAATTTCAGGATCCCTTTTTAATTCAGGAAATTAAATGAGTGGGTGTGACAGGGAGTTGCAGGGTGGGGCTCAGTGCTTCAGAAGGGGGAACTGGGAAAAAGAAACATCGAGGCCAGGGGTAGGCAACCTATGGCATGTGAGCTGATTTTCAGTGGCACTCACACTGCCCAGGTCCTGGCCACTGGTCCGGGGGGCTCTGCATTTAAAAACCTTATTTACTTATATATTATAGACTTATAGAAAGAGACCTACTAAAAACATTAAAATTTATGACTGACACGCGAAACCTTAAATTAGAGTGAATAAATGAAGTCTCAGCACCCCTGAAAGGTTGCCGAGCCCGGATGTAGGCGGAAGGAACTGTCGATGACTTGAGGGCAAAGGAGTAAGATGTGTCTGGAAGTAACTCAGACTGAAAATATATGGAGGGGATATAGCACCTGCCCTCTCACTGCCAAATTCCTTAATAGCGAAAACCTGCAAAATTCTGTGGACGTCAATGGAGCTCCACTGGTTAACACCAGCTGCGAAGCTAGAGGGGAAGAGAAGAGAATCTAAAGGCCTGGCCTGCACACACACCCTCCCGGTTAAAGGAAGGCACTAAGTAGATTCCAGGAGTCACCACCCTTAAGTCAAGCTGCTCTGTACTGGAAATGCAACTCCCGATACATTCGTGCAGCCTAAGGACCTGGGAAGAAAACATTGGCACAAATGCACTTCCAGTCTTGAAGATTTAATTCAGAACACAGTAGGCCAAAGGAACTGTCCTTTCATTTGGGGCTTTTGAAAACTCTACCCTTAGATCAGTTGTGTCGGGGTCAGTCAGCACTACGGACTGTGATAATGACGATATTCAAGAGAGTATCTCTACCAGTGACACCTGCCATCTGCACATTCAGAAGCACTGAGTGGTTTATTTAACTCTTCTAGCAGAAAAACATTTGAATGCAGAAATGATTGATGCTTACAAATACTGCTAAACACATTCTGTTTCTCTCGCCCTGTTATTAATCTCAGGATAACTCTTTAAACCTGATAGTACATATTGCACTGAATGTTTTGCTGTCTTCTGCAGAAATATATTAGTGGTCACAGGAGTGTTTTGCTGAACTATATTGAGGTTATTTCACTAATCCCATTGCAAGCCGTCAGAATGGGATTTCAGTCCATCCTCCTTCATGCTTTTTCTTTCTGCAGTAGTTTGCAATGGTGATGCTCTCTCTGGAGAAGTGTTCCCGAGTGCACCAGCCTCTGATTATAATGAATGTTCTGGTGCATGATGCTAATGAGAAGATGATGCTGTTTGCCTTGATTTTTCTTATCTTGAAGCCTCCTTTGTCTTTCAGTTTTGCCCACCTCCCAGGAAGATGGCTTACCAGCAGCAATGCAAACAGACCTGCCTGCCCCCTCCATGCTGTGTGACCAAGTGCACTACCAAATGCCTGGATCCGTGCTGCAAAGTCTGTGTGACCAAGTGTGTGACAAAATGCGTGGATCCCTGCTGTAAAGTCTGCGTGAAGAAGTGCACTACATGCGTGCATCCATGCCCCTGCCCGTGCCCTCAAAAGTGCCTTCCATGTCCTCCGTGTCCTCCATGCCATCAAAAGTGTCCTCCATGTCCTCAAAAGTGCCCTCCATGCCCTCCATGCCCTCCGTGCCCTCCAAAATGCCCACCTGTGCAGCACTGCTGCAAAGAAAAGAAGCTCTGTTAATGCCCACGGAACCACTGACGTCTACGGAATGAAAATGGATTACAGCCCCTCGCGCAATAGCTCTCTCCTCACTCTGCTGGTCTGGCATTCCCCTGGCAGTGTGACGTGTTTCTAGGAACATTTCCAGTCTCTGTCCGCACACTGCTTCTGGTTTTCGTATCCAGAGGTCAATGCCTTCCCTTGTAACAAGTAACTGACCGTCTTTGTGCCCCTGGGATCTCAGCTGTGGCTGAGAGAGATCCTGTAACACTTGTGCTGTAGACTCTTTAGTGTTGGTGA